CTGTTTCTCCTTGGGCACGGACTTTGGGCAGAGGGACTTCCCATTTTCCCGCTTTCTCTTTTCTTTTTTGTTTAATCATATTGGAAAGTACTTTGGCTCGGGACTGCTCCTCTCTGTCCAGCAGATAGGCAGGTACTGTTCCCTGTGGAGTCTTTTCATCATTCTTTTGTTTGGTGTTTCTCTTTTCATGCATCTTGATAGTCTTTTTCATTTGTATTTTCTCAGCATGGCGCTGCTTATGGTAGAGCTTAGCCTTCAGACCAATCATCTTCTTTGCCTTCTTCCATCGTTCATGAGCCTCTCGACTTTCCTTTTTTCTCTTTTTCTCATGGTAATCCAAATGATACCCATAGCGTTTACGGTGTAATTCAATATATTCATTTTGTGGCATGGTGACGGCCGCAGAGCCGCAGGTCGAGACTTCTTGGGGACGAAGAAGCTCTCGATCTTCTATTTATTTTTTTAAATTGTGAGATGTGTGAAGCATACGAAAAGACTGAATATAGTGTATAAGCACGGTGGGCAGAATAAGATGTGCACAGCATGGACTTGCCACCCTGCTTAACAGGACATGATCAGCATCCCTCTTTCAATCTCCCTCTCATTTGCCCTGGAAGAAACCAGTGCCTTGGATGCTGTTAAGCCTTGCTTTTCTTTTCTTTATGTTTTTCTAATATGTATGGATTTCTAACAACAATTTTTTTGGTTTGCCTGTTTTTGACCTTTCTATAAAAGGAAACATACAATTTGTACACTTCAGTAGCTTGTTGTTTTTTTTTTTTTTTTGCTAAACATGCTGAGAGCCATCATGCTGATGCACCTGCAGAGCATTCATCTCCCCTGCCGCAAAGTATTCCTTGGATGACTGTATCCCTCTTTCTGTTGAGGACGCTGGCGTGTGTGGCCACATTTTCTCTGCTATGCCCTGGGAGCCAGAGAGGAGGTGGGGAAGCTGAACTCTGAGAGTCACCTCAGGCACATCTGGCGCTGGGTAACTGGCACCCACTGATTTCCACAGCCTTTCGGGTGTACCCAGAGGGTTGATGCAACCACACTGTGGCGACCAGCAAAAGAAACCACTCAACAGCCCTTTGGCCGGATAAACCGGGGACCTGGCTGAGTCTGCAGTTGCAATCACCCCTTTATCTTTCTTCTAGCCTGACCTGGTGGGGTGACTGTGTCAGCTGCCGCTGTCAATGGTGGTGTGGTGACTTCGTGCCACTCTGTGCCTCCGTCCTGGTCCCTCTTCATCACCGCTTTGGTTAAACTTGGGTAAAAGCAATTGGAGGCTAGAACTTGTTCTTGTCTAGTGCGGGCTCCAAGTACTCCTCATCCAATCCAGCAACACATCCTGCTATTTCTACCTTCCAACATATTTCTATGTATGTATATTAATAGCTATTCACAGATTAATATTTATATAAAAATAAATTGATATATTTATATGTGGGTACATAGAGCTATAGATAGATATCATCCACTTAGATATAGAAAGCGTGCCCTTTTCACCTCCACCTTTCCACCCTGGTCTGAACTGCTGTGATAGCCCATGTGAACGTCCGCAATATCTCTTAGCAGGTTTCACCACTTGTGCGCCATCACCCCCAAATCCAACTGCACTCAATGAGCACATGGCAGCCAGAATATTCCTTTCAAAATGTAAGTCACATCATTTCCCTACTTGAAACCTTCCAAATGGCTTCTTATCACACTTTGAATGAAACCTAAAGTCCTTACCACCTGGCCCCCCAAGGCCCGTGGAAATTCCTCCAAGATAGTGGAGGGATATGGGGCCTTTGCACTTGCTATGCCCTCTCGAAGGCCCTTCCCAAAGATCAGCACTGGGCTGGATGTGTCACTTCATTTAGGTGTTAGCTCAATGTCACTTCATTAGAAAGGCCCTTCCCTGACCACATTTCTAAAACACCCTCCCCCACCCCCTTGGCACACTCTTTCCCTTTATTCTCCTTTTATAAACCTATATATACATAGTCTCCCTCTGCCACTCTAATGTCAGCTTCACATGTGCAAGGAATTTGTCTGGTTTGTTCATTGCATCTTTATTGGGGGGACAGAGTCTTGCTCTGTCACCTAGACTAGAGGGCCGTGGCGTCAGCTTAGCTTACAGCAACCTCAAACACCTGGGCTCAAGCGATCCTCCTGCCTCAGTCTCCTGAGTAGCTGAGACTACAGGAATGCACCACCACACCTGGCTAATTTTTTCTATTTTTTTTTTAAGTAGAGACAGGGTCTTGATCTTTTTCAGGCTGGTCTCAAACTCCTGACCTCATGGGATCGTCCTGCCTTGGCCTCCCAGAGTGCTAGGATTACAGGCATGAGCCACCACACCCGGCCTGTTTATTGCATCTTACATCTCCAGCATTAGGACAGTGCCTGGTACATAGTAGGTGCTCAATAAATAAATACATGGTAAATAAATGAATGAATTTATGTTCTTTTTGGTTTGAAGCCAATTCAGAAAGTTAGGATTCTTGGGAAAACATGGCAAAGAACTTCTGCTTTACCTTCTCTGTTAAGTGTCACTGCTTAGTTCTAACACCTCTAAGAAAACGTTGGGTGATGAGTGAAGAAAAAGGAGAGGCTCCCACCTGGGCTGCAGGACTGGCCAGTGCATCCTCGCCTCTTCTCAGTCAGGTGTTTGGTAAATCGCAGGCTGTGATGGCCTGGCTCACACACGTTCGGGCTCCCAAACTGGATAATTCGGATGTAAAGAGATTGAAGTGGAAAGCCAGAAGACGTAGACAAGACACGTGGGCTTGGTGGAGGCACAGTAAGGAGAAGAGTCATCTCTAAGGAGTGGAAGCCATTGCCCAGCTCCAATCAGCTGTTGTTACTGGAGTATGATGTTGCCAGAACGTCTGAGTTTCCAAACATCTAGATTTTAATGAGACATCTCCTAATTTTTAAGCATCAAGTCAAGAATACATTCAAAACAACTTTTAAAACGACGCGAGCATACAGAGCACATGAGGCAGAATCCACCTTGTGGAGCCACTTGCTTTCGACCTCTGATGGAAGTCGCTGAATTTTAAAATCATGGTGCCTGTTCCAATCTCTCTGTCCTAGGGAACCCTGAGACACAGGAACTGTGATGGACAGATCTTGGCACCGGGCTCTGACCCTCCCTAGTTCTTATTGGTGGTTTCATATCTTCAGACCAGCTGGCTTGGGCCATAGCACGTGGGTGATGAATGTCCCCAAGTTTCTTCCATAAGAGAAATGACCTTCGATGACTGCTTCAGTTAGAATGCTTTTGGCAGCACACTATGACATTCGACTCCCAGTTGCTTAAGCCAGGATTTATTGTTTACCCAACCAGAAGCCCAGGGCTAGGCCGGCAGGGGCTTGCTTTGGCAGCTCAGTGGGACGATTGAAGATTTTCCCCCTTCTGTTCCACCAGCGTGTTTCTTTCTTCAACCTTGTTTCTTAGGGCCACAAAATATGTGTTTTTCCCCCTTCTGTTCCACCATCCTGTTTCTTTCTTCGACGTTGTTTCCTAGAGCCACAAAATATCGGTCCCAGCTCCATGCAAAAGAGCCTTCCTCGTGAAGCAGCGGGAGGGAACTGTTTTCCTGAGACACCTATATACTCTTCTTGTGTCTCATTGGTCTGAAACTGGTCACATGCCCACCCCAGGCCAATCACCACCCAAGGAGAAAGAGGAGCGTTGTGATTGGCTTAAAACTGTGGGTCTTTAAATTAGGGCCCTTTTGCCCTAGCGGGTAGACAAAAGACTTTCCGGGGCTATGGAAGCGCAGACTCTTTTAGTGCAATTAATTTACAGACCCTCACCCTCTTATGAACTTGGTCTTTACAGATGCCAGAGAAAGCATGTGTCTTCTCAGTTGACCTCTGCAGACTTAACCATAAAAGAGGATTACTCATAACTCATCCTGATTTGTACTGTGGTGGCCGGCCCCGCAGTTGTGAACAGCAACTGGCACGAAACCCTCTTTAATGAGCAACATGCCACTCTCCTGTCATTTCTCCTAAGGGTGAAGTGTGGCTTGCGTTGAAATACTGTGATTTGAGAACAACCAAAGCAGTGAAATGGATTGAAATGATTTTTTTAAGTGTAACTGGAGTATTTTCCAGTCCTTCTATCTAAAATTTCAAGATACATTGAAGAACATCTACGGGGACATTTTACATTTTATTTTTTTAATTTAATTTAATGTTATTATTATTATTATTTTTGAGACAGAGAGTCTCACTCTGTGGCCCCGGCTAGAGAGCCATGGCGTCAGCCTAGCTCACAGCAACCTCAAACTCCTGGGCTCAAGCAATCCTCCTGCCTCAGCCTCCCGAGACGCTGGGACTACTACAGGCATGCAACCACCACCCCTGGATTATTAAAAAAATTTTTTTTTGTAGAAATGAGGTCTTGCCATGTTGCCCAGGCTGAATGCCTTTTATTATACCAATATTTTATTTGTTTTTTATTTCGGCTTAGGTACCTGAAAAATATTACACCAATGTTATACACTAAATGCATTCCTCTGCAATGTATATTTTGAGACTCACTGGTACACTGCGTGTTAATGTATGACATTATTAATATATGTATATACACGATGTGTTTATTAATATTTGTTGTCTGCCCGCCACACACCTGTTTCTCCCCCATCTGTTAACAGGAGGGCAAGAATTTTGCTGTGTTCAGGCCGTGTCCACAAAGTGCCCGGCACACCGTAGGCGCTCAATAAATATCTGCGGGAAGAGCAAAGCAATAGCTAATGAAAGAAAACATACAAAGAGGAACCAGCGTCCCCTATCGCCTGGCTGCTGCCGGCGCTGCTTTAACCCGCTTCCGCCCCAGGTTCCGCCCCAGGTGAGGGCAGGGAGCCGGGGCCCACCGCGCCTGCGCAGGCCGCCCCTCCCCGACCGCGGGTTCGAGTCCCGGCGCGGCGAGCACTCCTTTGCGAGGCGGGAGCGGCGGAGGGTTACAGGCGGCGGCGGCGGAGCCGGCGGGGGCGGGGCCGGCCGGTGACTTACGGGAGGCGGTGGCGCGGGCTCCGGCTCCCTCTCCAGCTCCGGTTCCGTCGCGCGCTCCCCGCCGCCTGCGTCCCGCCGGCCCAGCCCTCGCCGCAGCCATGTCCAAGGAGGCGCGGGCCGGGCGTGAGGAGATCATGGAGTGCCAGGTGATGTGGGAGCCCGACAGCAAGAAGCGCGCGCACATGGACCGCTTCCGGGCGGCCGTCGGCGCCGCCCGCGGCCGGTCGCTGGGTGAGCGCGGGGCGCGCGGCGGGGGCCACCTGTCGGGGCGGCGTGACCTTCCTGGGGACGGGAGGGTCCCTCCTCCCGGGCGTCGCCGCCAGGCCCCTCCTGGTGGTTGGGGTGGTCTCCTGGTGCCCCGTTTCTGCTGCTGGGGTTGGGGGAGAGAGACACTTGACATGAGGGACCTTCTCACTGGGGTTTTGCACCCCACTCTGTGTGCGTGTGGGGGTGCCACCCCTCTGCAGCATCTCCTGACTGCAGCATCTCCCTTGCATGTGGGGGTCCCCCTCTCCCCGGGAGGGTCACCCCTCTGGAGGTGGCAGCCCTGCTGTTGGCTGTGAGGTCCCGAGCTGGGCGTTCCTGCTTGTGAGGGGCTCCCTGCTGCCTTGGCCTCCAGCCAGTGGGGGCTTCCTCCAGGACAGAGCGCCGTGCTGACTTGTGGGGGTCCCTTGCCAGCTCACAGTACCTTGCGCTCCCCTCCGCACGCCGCTTCTGCGAGAGGCCAGCACCTGGAAGGATGGTCAGGGGGGAGCCCTTCCGTTGTGTGTGCTCGGCCAGCCCCTGAGCGGAACCTGGCCAAGGACCCTCCTTCCAGCCACAGCCCTCAGAAACCACCTGTCTGGGCGAGGAGCATTCCACGTGCTCTTTCCCGACTCTAGGTGGCTTGAGCAGCTTCCTGCTCCACCTGCCCCGCACCGCCTCCCCTGTGCTCCTCAGAGATTTTCAACTCATCACAGCTGCAGGGACCCCCTTGTTTCTGTTGGTGGCATCACTGTCCTTCATCATCCCCACGCAAATGGAGTCCTGAGTCATCTGGCCAGCGCCAGGAACCTGCCTTGGTGACACGGCTTTCCTGCACCCACCCTTTCCAGCCCCATGCCAGGGTTCTGGGGACCTTCTTCCCTCTTCTCCCAACAGTGCTTCCTGCTTCCTGCTTTCCCGCCCTGCCACCTCCAGTGCACCCTGCTTGCTCTGCCAGAGCAATGTGGGAGCACAGGTCTGGCTTTGTCACTCCGTGGCTCAGATGTTTTCAATGGTTCCTTGTTGACCACGGAGTTGCAAACTGCCACCTGGCAGCTTCCAGGCCTCCACAGCACGGCGGAGCTTGTGCCCCCGCTCCCTGTCACTTGGGGTGTGTCTTATTACTCTAGGGGCTTCCAGGCTAGTTGATAAATCGTGTCAGATGGGAGAAGAGGAGCCTTGACCCCCAGGAAGAACCAGGGGGCTGGGTTGTGGGGTTACATTCTTCTTCTGGGTCACCTTGCCTTGATGCCATCTGTTTCCTCTGCCAAAAGCAAGAATGTAGTACGGATGATCTGGTGCTTGTCTCACCCTGACATCCCCAAAATAATTTCCCACAAGGACAGCCATGGCAGGTGGGCGAAGCCTCCTTTCTCCATGGGAGGTGGCTCCACTTACTAGCTGTGTGATCAGGAGGAGGTCGTCCAATTTCCCCATGCCTCAGTTTCTTCTTCTGTACAGTGGGCATAACAAGAGGACCCATGTTGTTGGGTGCGGGTGAGGGTGACATGAGCTGGTCAGGCCCCGTGCTCAGCTCTGCACCTGCACGTGTGGCTGAGGGAACACAGTGAGCCCTGGTAGCCCCAAGCTCTGCCTGCTGAGCTCCTCTCCCTCCTTCAAGGCTCTCAAACCAGGGCCCCCGGGCCAGGCCTGATCCGCAGGCACTGTTGAGTAGCCTGCGTTTACAAGTCAGGAGGCCGCGCCTCAAAAAGGAAGCCTTCCAACTTCTGAAAACCCCAAGGCCTGTGACACTCGCTGGCTATGTTGCCACGTGGCAGCAATCGGTGGGAGTCTGGGGCGGTGTTTAGAGCTCGCCTTTGTCCTTGCCCCACCTTACCACTCCTGATGGTGAACTTCACTTGCTCCCCCCTTTCCCGTGCCTGGTCCTGGGGGTTTTGGGCTTCGCTTTAAGATCCAACTCAAATGCTACCCTCTCTTTGATTATTCTCCTTTTTCCTCTGCTCGCCAAGTGTATGTACTTCGGGCTTTCCTGCCTTGCCTTTTTGGGCATTTGTGAGCATTCCTGCTGCTTGGAGACAGCACCCACGGACTTGTGCCCTCTGTGCCCGGACAGTGGCTTGCTTGTAGCCGGTGCACAGCACTGACCGGATGTGCACACAGAGCAAGGCACACATCTTCCCGTGCCCCATGTGCCTTGCTCCAGCCCCAGAGAGTGCAGGGAGGGAGGGAAGGATGGAGGGGTGTTCCCCACTCTGGCCGCCTCCCCCCCCAGCCCATCTTCCCAGACCAAGGTTGACAGGAGTTTTCTGTGCCTGCATTTCGGGAGGTGAAGGCCCTTGTGGCATTGCATGTACTCTTTTCCACTCCCAGAGCTGTAGGTTGGTTTGTTTCTGCCACTGCTTCCAGCTGAACTCACCTGAGGCTTCCCTGCACACCCACGCAGGGCTCAGCGTGGTCAGGCACAGCCTTCCTCAGGCGCAGCCTGCGGCTCCAGCCCAGCGCGTGAGCAAGTGATCCCAGGTCTCTGTCTCAAGGCTTCAGGGGACACGCTGAACGTCCTAGCCCTCTGTAATTAGGGAGCAGGGAGGTAGCACCAGCTTCCAAGAACATGTTCTGTTGGAGGACTGTGCCAAGTGTCTTCCACAAGCTACAGGTCTACTCTGTGTGCACATGGCTGGATAGAGTTTGCCGACAGAAAGAGGGCTCAGTCCCTGTTCTCTGATAGCTCAGTGGAGCTGGGGGAGAAGGCTCCCTATGCAGAGATAGCGCCACAGTTAGTCCGTGCTTACTTATTTATTTATACGTACATATACTCATACATACATACTTACAGAGTCTTGCTATGTTGCCTGGGCTAGAGTGCCGTGGCGTCAGCCTAGCTCACAGCAACCTCAAACTCTTGGGCTCAAGCGATCCTCCTGCCTCAGCCTCCCGAGTAGCTGGGACTACAGGCGTGAGCCACCACGCCTGGCTAATTTTTTGTTTCTATTTTTAGTTGACTGGCTAATTTTTCTATTTTTATAGAGATGGGAGGGGGGTCTCCCTCTTTCTCAGGCTGGTCTTGAACTCATGACCTCGAGCGATCCTCCTGCCTCGGCCTCCCAGAGTGCTGGGATTACAGGTGTGAGCCACTGCGCCCAGCCCCAGTGTCCATGTTCTCGGGGACAGTGGTTAAGAGGTGAAATCACTGCCTCGGAGCTTTTGTGCCTTTTGGGGACCAGCGGTGGTGAGTTTGCGTCAGCAAAAATCAAGCTCTCCTCTCCAGCAGACCATTCCTCATCCGTGTTTCTGAACCGCTCAGGTGTCCCTGCCACTCCTTAGGTGTGTTCATCTTACGATTGAACTGCTAAGACTTCCCTTCTGACGTTTGTCTGAGCTGTGTGTGCCATTTTATTTTATTTTTAGAGAATTACAATGACTTGTACCATTGGTCAGTTGAGTCATATTCAGACTTCTGGGCAGAGTTCTGGAAATTCAGCGGAATTATCTTCTCGCGCATGTATGATGAGGTAAGGAGAGGTTTTCCTTGTGTGTCATCTTTTTCTGTGGCTGTGTTTCAGAGTGAAATGTTGATTTTGGGGAATACTGAATCGTATCTCCTTTTGCAACCTCACGTTGACAGGAAAACGTCATTGTCCTGCAGAACTGGCACTAACTATCATGGGCCCCACCGAGACGTTGCAGTCTGTGGTTGGGTCTTCTGTTGCACATAGACCCCAGGCCCTGTCCTGGGAACTCGAGTGATCCTAAGCACTGAGTAGTAGGACCCTTAGTAGTAGATTTTTTTTTTTTAAAATGTTTAATTATGGTAAAATACGCATAACATAAAATTTACCATCTTAATCCTTTTGAAGTGTACAGGTCAGCGGTATTAAATACAATTACATTGGGCCGGGCGTGGTGGCTCACGCCTGTAATCCTAGCACTCTGGGAGACCAAGGCGGGCAGATTGCTTGAGGTCAGGAGTTCGAAACCAGCCTGAGCAAGAGCGAGACCCCGTCTCTACTATAAATAGAAAGAAATTAATTGGCCAACTAATATACATAGAAAAAATTAGCCAGGCACATGCCTGTAGTCCTAGCTACTAGGAGGCTGAGGCAGAAGGATTGCTTCAGCCCAGGAATTTGAGGTTGCTGTGAGTTAGGCTGGTGCCACGGCACTCACTCTAGCCTGGGCAACAAAGTGAGACCCTGTCTCAAAAAAAAAAAAAAAACCCTCCCCAAAAAAACAAAACAAAATAAATACAATTACAGTGATGTTTAAACTATCAGTAGTTTTGTTATTTTTTTTTAACCTTCATTTTAGAGAACTTTTTATTTTATTATTTATTATTATTTTTGAGACAGAGTCTCACTCTGTTGCTTGGGCTAGAGTGTCGTGGCATCAGCCTAGCTCACAGCAACCTCACATTCCTAGGATCAAGCAATCCTCCTGCCTCAGCCTCCCGAGTAGCTGTGACTACATGCATGCGCCACCATGCCCAGCTAATTTTTTCTATATATTTTTAGGTGTCCAGCGAATTTCTTTCTATTTTTTCTTAGTAGAGACAGGGTCTTGCTGTTGTTCAGCCTGGTCTCGAACTCCTGAGCTCCAATGATCTGCCCGGCTCTGCCTCCCAAAGTGCTAGGATTATAGGTGTGAGCCACCGCACCCAGCCTAGAGAACTTTTTAACTCCTTACACTTATGCTGTAAATCAATAAATATCTGTGGAAAGGGAGTCCTGTTATTCAAATTATAGTTTATTGTCATTTTGGGGAAAAATCGTTCAGAAAGGATGATCCATTGTCACTTTGAGAATAAAAATCAAGGTTCCAGCACCCCGAGGAAGTGAGCAGGGTCAAACTTCCAGAAAGTCGTAGAGGAGGGGCAGGTGGCGTCTGGAGCACGATCTCCTGGTTTCACCTGTCTGGTCAGAGCCTGGTACGTTGGACAAGTGTCTCCTTCGGCTTCAGTATCTCTCAGGAAGTAGGTGCTTAGTAAATATTTGTTGAAAGAGGAAATTACTGGAGCTGGTCGTTTTCCCTTGGCATTTATTAATATTTCCATGTTCAGTTTCAAGCCTTTAGGCTAGTTCAAAGTTCAGTCTGTAAAATGGTTTTTTTTTTTTGAGACAGTGTCTCGCTTTGTTGCCCAGGCTAGAGTGAGTGCCGTGGCGTCAGCCTAGCTCACAGCAACCTCAGACTCCTGGGCTCAAGCAATCCTTCTGCCTCAGCCTCCCAAGTAGCTGGGACTACAGGCATGCGCCACCATGCCCGGCTGATTTTTTCTATATATATTAGTTGGCCAATGAATTTCTTTCTATTTATAGTAGAGACGGGGTCTCACTCTTGCTCGGGCAGTTTTCGAACTCCTGACCTCAAGCAATCCACCTGGCTCACCTCCCAGAGTGCTAGGATTACAAATATGAGCCACCGCGCCCCGCCTGTAAAATGATTTGATAATGGTTTTGGCCGATGAGATAGCTGGCTTCCTGGGTGGCAGGCTCACGTTTATTTATTTGTGACGAAGACCTCATGTATGTGTGTATCTCGGTTTGCTGTCGTTCTCTGCAGGTAGTCGACACATCAAAAGGAATTGCAGACGTCCCCGAGTGGTTCAAAGGCAGCCGTCTCAACTACGCAGAGAACCTCCTGCGGCACAAGGAGAATGACAAAGTCGCCCTTTATGTTGCGCGTGAGTCCTGATGACACACGGACGTGGACGTTCTAGATGGTGCATACATGCGGTGCCAACTATATGGAGAGGCTCTGAGGCATGCAGAAACCACAGTATAGGATTTGCAAACAATATCCTGGCACCTTTCTGATGTAGTTAAAACTTATGTTGACTTTGTTTTTCCAGGGGAGGAATAGGGGCAGAGATCCCCAATGTTACGTAACTAGCTTGAGTCACTTGGAGAGTTAGTAGAGGAATTATGGCTAGAATCTCTTCCCATTGGCTTCTCTTTTTATTATATTTTATTTTTTTATATTTCTATTTTTTTTTAAGGCTGGTCAAGTGGAGCAGTGGGAGTGGAGAAGGAACAAAGGAATCTGTAACGGGTTGTGATCAATTAGTTGTAAACACCATTGCACTTGGACTCACCTTGGCTTCTCTTTTTAAGATATAGTTTAGGCTGGGCGAGGTGGCTCAGGCCTATAATCCTAGCACTCTGGGAGGCCCAGGCGGGCGGATTGCTTGAGGTCAGGAGTTCAGAACCAGCCCGAGCAAGAGTGAGACCCCATCTCTACTAAAAATAGAAAGAAATTAATTGGCCAACTAATATATATATAGAAAAAATAGGCAGGGCATGATGGCACATGCCTGTAGTCCCAGCTACTCGGGAGGCTGAGGCAGCAGGATTGCTTAAGCCCAGGAGTTGGAGGTTGCTGTGAACTAGGCTGACGTCATGGCACTCACTCTAGCCTGGGCAACAGAGTGAGACTCTGTCTCAAAAAAATAAAATAAAATAAAGTTTAAAGACTATTCCAATTTATGTATTAACCAATCTCTGGCAGAATTGTAATGAATGGCATATTCTAAATAAAATATAATTTTTTTAATGAGATAGTGTGGTTAGCCCCCTAATTAAATTAGTCTTTTGATAAAGTTGAGTGTTTATGAAAGGTAACATTGGATATATCTAGTATTGTTAGAATTTGGGGTATTTCATATAAGTGCATTTCCCCTTGAGTAGTAACACTTTATCCATTTTAGACACAATTTATTTTATTAAGTTGTGGGGAAATATGTTTAACTAGAGGAGATTGAACATCATGGAGCCTTTTGTTTTCATGACTTAAGACTTCCAGGCTGGGTGCAGTGGCTCACACCTATAATCCTAGCACTCTGGGAGGCCGGGGCTCGCTCAAGGTCAGGAGTTCGAAACAAGCCTGAGCAAGAGTGAGACCTCTGTCTCTACTAAAAATAGAAAAAATTAGCCGAGCATGGTGGTGCATGCCTGTAGTCCCAGCTACTCGGGAGGCTGAGGCAGGAGGATCGCTTGAGCCCAGGAGTTTGAGGTTGCTGTGAGCGAGGCTGACACTACGGCACTCTAACCCAGGCAACAGAGTGAGACTCCGTCTCAAAAAAATAAAAAAAAGATTTTCATTTTTTGGACGGTGCCAAAATCTAATGCTCTCGAGCTGTCGAGGTGCGAGGACTGCTCTGCCCTTATAGTTTCACAGAGGCCCCCGAAGGGCTGTGTGCTCTGCCCTCACGTCCAGGTTTCTGTGCTGCTCCTGTCCTGACCTTGCTGCCTGCTGCCACTCCTCGCAGGTGCCGGTGTCCTTGCCTCTAGCAACCCTTGTCTTCACTACAAGTCACTACATTTAATCAGCAGTGGTGCGGGAAGTCAGGCTGTTGTGCTTGTACGAGTACAGTGGTGCCCAAGGTAGGGGGAAACGGGCCTAAGTGCAGATTTCAGGGTTCAAGTCCCAGTTCCACACACTCAGTAGCTGTGTGACCTTGGGTAGTCACTCAGCCTCTCTGGGTCTGTTTCTGCATCGATAAAATGGGAAGGATGGTGATACCTACGTCAGGGTTATTGCAGGGATTAAGGGAGTGTGTCTGTATCTATTAACAGGTAGCTTAGCACAGAGTCCTGGGCACAGAGGGAATCTGCATAATTCTCGGTCAAAGTTACATGTCCAAAATCCCTGTGCAGCTTTCTTGTGTTTTTACTTTTGGTATTTTAAAAATCATACTAAAAATTTAATTGTACTAAAGGCAAGAGTTAATTGAACACTTATTTTTGTATAGGACATCTTGTAGGACAAGACTGAAAAATAAGCTGAAGTCATGTTCCACCTCCAGGATATTAAAATGTAGTCATGGAAATTAGGCCAACATACATTGAAACAGGTGACAGCCTAAAGTAGTCACGTAATTAAGTGCCCACCCGAGTCTCAGAGTTGGCAATGTTGATCAGAAGCCCAGAGAAAGTCTAATTCACCGTGGTGCAAAATACTCATCACAAAATGAATTTCCACTTTTGTAGATTTCCAAGGCATTTCACTGTCTCACTAGATCAGCACGAGAAGCCAAACCACTGAGACTGGCCGGAGTGGCCTGCCCAGTCTGCCCGGCTCCCCAGCCAAGGGCTCCCGAGCCGAAAAGAGAGATAACAACTGAAACATAAGCTAGTCATGTTCACCCAGGATATTAAAATGTAGTCATGGAATTAGGACAACATACATTGAACAGGTGACAGCCTAAAGTAAGTCCGTAATTAAGTGCCCACCCCGAGTCTCAGAGTGGCAATGTTGATCAGAAGCCTCAGAGAAAGTCTAATTCACCGTGGTGCAAAATATCACAAAATGAATGTCCACTTTTGTTAATTCCAAGGCATTCACTTCTCACTAATCAACCGAGAACAAACACTGAGACTGGCCGAGTGCTCGCCAGTCGCCAGCGCTCCCAGCCAAGCTCCCGAGCTGCCGTCCGGGAGGGACAAGGAGGCCCTGTGCATTTTATTGTTTGTTGTTTTTGTGTTTTTTTTTTTGAGCAGATCTAGCTTTGTTGCAGGCTAGAGTGTGCCGTGGCGTCAACCTCAGCCACAGCACCTCAAACTCCTGGCTCAAGCACATCTGCTTCAGCCTCTCGAATAGCTGGATAAGGCATGCGCCACCATCGCCCGCTAATTTTTCATGAATATATATGAGTTGGCAACTTAATTCTTTTATTTATAGTAAGAAGCGGGGTCTCACTTTTGCTCAGGCTGGTTCCACTCGACTCAAGCACCGCCCCCTCAGCCTCCAACCGTGCTAGATTAAGGCGTCGAACTACCCGCCCGGCCCCTGTGCAGCTTTTAGAAGAACCATGGCTGCCCAGTTCCCACTGCGACCTGCTGGAATACCCAAGGAGACCGAGGCTCGCATGAATTTTTGAAGCCCACAGTTGTTACTTTCTTTCTTTTCTCCAAGACGAGTCATCCTTTGTTGCCAGGCTAGAGTGAGTGCCGTGGCG